CTCAGCTTATTTAAGTAGTTTACTTATCAATTTAATTATAATTTGAATTATGAATGGAATGAATGAGAATGAGTTATGTTTTGGAGCTTTGGTTGTAAGTTTAATTCCCAGACTATCTAAACAACCCTTGCTGAGAACTCCAAAACTGACACATTTTAACTCATTTTAGTTGGTTAGGGGCAAGGCTCCAGATTATCAATTCTATGCTATCAACTTTGTATCCTGAGATACATTTGGTATTATGTATACAAGACCCTATAAAAGTTTTCAGGAACTGAAGACAGAGGGAATAATTACTATTAATAATAATCTATCTTATGCTTAAATCCCTTAAATCTATCCACCAGGGCTCAGATTACTTGGAGGCAAACTTTTTGGTGACAGTGAATTATCCCTGCCTTCTTCACTTTTCTTTAGGTCATATAACTTTTCAATATTTTGCAATTTATCGTGGAGTTAAATTAATTAAAAATTACACTTAATAATCTACAATTATTAATTAATTAGCTGCAATTGTGAATACACACAGCATGAATGGTTGTTCTTTTCATACTGATAAATGTACAATATTGATTAGAAACGGTTTCAGCCTTTAAAGCCCTTGGTGTGTATCCAGGACTTCAAACCCACCCGGTGCTCTGAACCAAAACATACCCTTTCTAGCCTCTGTATTTGGGACAAACCACGTACCTACTTTACAACAAATTGAACATTTGACTGCAAATGCGTTAAACAAAAGTTATTGTAACAGCACCACTTCGCCTGTGCTTGGCTGTTGCAAAGTTAGTTGGGAGAGATGCTGTTACAGGTTTATAGGTCACCGCCTTATCAGGTGACAATCAAACACTTTTGCTGGGCTCATATGGACACTCCTCACCAAGGTCAACTAACAGTAAATAGATTCAAAAGGGAAAAACATTTCTACAGCACAAAAAGTAAACAATTGCTACAACTAGGTGGGATTGGAGTCCAGTATTGAAAGACATAGTAATGTTGAAACCACCAAGGTTTGGCACATTGGCTCGTATAGTTCCAAACAGGCTTTGTGACAGTGTGACAGTGAGCTGTTACGGACATTAAATACACCCAGAAACACTGTATATGGCTTATAGCAGACCGTCATCTAAACCCGTCTCTCCATCTTCCCCATGAGCTCTGCTTGTGTAAGACAACCAGGAACGTATGGGTCTGTTTTCATCTTTCACCATTTATTCACAATGTCTGGGCTTGGAAAGTAATGGTGTGTACTGATATTGTTTCGCAAAAAAAAGTTATCATTTCCAACTCCTCTCGAACCTATTTGGATGATTCCCAAAACCTATGTATATTGCTTAATTTAAGTTCATTTCTAAGTTTTTCCTGGCTGGACAACAAGATGGTTCTTCCTATATCACTGTAAAATCCAGTGGACTTCCAGACAAATCATGCTCGTAGGCCCATAAAATCAGCTTTTCACTGAGCGAAGAGAAACTTCCCACATTCAGCAAAGGAGAAAATCCTTCTAGTGTCTGCACATACTCATCTGCACAAGTGAAGCTCAAATCCAATAGAACAAAAAAGAAAACATATTTCTGAGGGAGGGACTCTACTGCAGCCATATCTGTGTGGTGTGGTGTGTGGTGTGTGGTTGCTGTTGAATGAGGGAGAGGAGAGAGAGAAAGAGAGAGAGAGAGGATACATTACCTTCATCACAACAAATCCTTTAACAAATCTGATGAATGAACTGTATTGATTGAATAACTGATATAAGAAGTATTGATGCAGGTGTAACAGATCAATGTCACCTCATCCGATAAGGTCACATGATCAGTCCCAGCAGTGGATTACAGCCACCTCTCATTGCGTCTCCTGATGACGTTACTCAGTTACATCATGTAATCCGTTACTCCCCCCTGAGCCCTGTCGCGCGGTTTCGTTTTCACGCTGCCACCGCGGCGCGTACAGAATATCGCGTGCGCTGCGCCCTGTGCACGCTCACTGTACGTGACGTCATCAAACCAGCATGGCGGTCAAGGTGACTTCAGGCATCGCTCTCTGAGCGATTCTCCAACCTCTGTTTGAACATGTCTGCATGTCTTCCGCTCGTTGTGTTGTGTAGGCGTTGTGAGGGTTAGAGTCGCCGCTGCCGTCGGGTACAGCGGCTCTGAGGCGGTGTCCTCGGGGCTGTAGCATCACTGGGCTAGCCGTCGCCGCCCGGCTGGCCTTGATGAGACATCCACAACCTCGAAGTTAGCGAGATAATGCTAAGCAAGCTATCGGACTGCTAACACTGCTGATAAAAACCACTAACGCGAGCTGAAGTCTCGTCTTTTCTACAGCAGCCGACTGTTTGTCAGTTTGCTCTCATCCTTTTTGTCTTTCTCTCTTCTTTCTGTTCGCTGGTTTAAAGCTTATCATGTCATTGCCACGGTTTGTGTCCTCTTCCTGTGTGCAGTTTGTGCTTGCTAGCCGGCTACCCAGCTGTAACGTTAGTTAGTTAAAGCTTGAGTAGAGGTTTGGCTCGTTGGCTGCTCGATTGTTTAGTTAGCTGATGCTCAGCTTCACGGCAGTGCCAGAGTGTAGTGTTTTATCTTTATTGTCGTTTATTGTGCCTGTCGTAGCGGGTGGTGTGTCTCCTTCACAGCAGTGGTCGTTTCAAGGAGACCTAAACCCAAAGTAGCTTGTTTGTTTTGCTTCGTGTTATATTAAGTACCTCTGCTTGCGAAATCTTAGGTTTTACTCAGCAGCTGCTTTTGAAAATGTAAAAACATTCGCAGTGTCGCAATGTCATAATGTTGTTTTTATTGTGTATTGTTTTAGGTGCAATCAACCAAACGCGGGGACCCGACTGAGCTGAAAGCAATCTTCCAGAAGGTGAGGTTTTCATCCAGACAATATCTGATTCAAATGTTTATTGTGTCAATGTGTCATTGCGCATTGAGACCAATATGTGTGCCTATCTTGTAGATATCCACCAGATGTGTTTGTGAAGCAGCTCTGTGTGTAGAAAACAGCTGTTTTCACTTGGTGAATGAGCTTGTAAGTTTGTCATGGGGTTTAAATTACAGCTTTAGCCACAGTTAAAGGTCCAGCACAGACTGCTGTTGCTACTTCACAAAACAAATCGCTGCAACTGAATAGCTTGTCAGTGATAATACTCGTCATTTAGCCTAACATTGTTTTTTTAATGACATAAGTTGAAGCTTAAACATAATTGTGGTTGATATTTGTCAAGTCAGCCGCAGCTGCTGTAAGTGGAGAGGTTGTTTAGAGTCAGTACTGGAAAAGGAAGTGTTTAGTATCAGCTTTTCTCAGTGTCTGTCCGCTTTGATCATCGTGACATGTTAAGGAAATATGTTGGGCTGTTGTACCAGATGTATGAGGATATTGTCATTTATAAGGCTGGATATCTTAGTCGATAGAGCATCCGACTTTTAATCGGCGGGTCTAGAGTTCATGTCTCTGTTCAAGCGGTGTTGTCAGTTTTTGTTTCACTGTGTCCATTACAGCACAAGTAAGGACTTGCATGTCCTTGTACTTAACGGATCAGAGAGCACTGTGTCACACCGGTGCCCCTGTTATGTATTGGACACCATTCTAAGGCTATTGCATGTCAGAGGCAGCGTATGAGCATGAGGTTTGCACGAGTGACTACAACAAGAATGTATTTGGTTAACAGTCACCTTTCTCCACTGTCTTCTGCGTGCTGAGTGTGTGATCCACTGTGTGATTGTCTTGTGGGCCAGCAGTTGTCGGTATGCTGATATACATAGGTCAAATAGCTGACAGGCTCAAGCCAACCACACCAGTGCACATCACTCATGTCATCCTGACACAAAGTAAAGATAGCACTGGGATAAGTCAGTGTAGTGTAATAAGTAAAACATGGACCTAGTAATGTGGTGTAAAAACAGAGTCTACAGTATACAGTGTAGTAGTGCTGACCTGTGGTTCACTCAAAGCCATGTACTTGTCATGCTCCACACTCATGCCTCTGAACGCTGATCAAACAGGCCATTGGCAATGGATCTGTGAATGTTAACAAAGCTGTTGATTAAAGCGAATGAAAAGCCTTGCTATTGAGATGGATTAACACATGGTTATGTAAATGGTGAACAGAACGTACAGAGGTAATTGGAGGGGTAAAAGAATGCAATTGTTTTAATTAGTCACAGTTAGTTCACTTAGGGTTAAGGGAAAAGAAGTTAGCGCCTGTGAGGGGTTAGGCATATTTGCTGATGTTATTTCTTGTTTCTCTCCTCAGTATGCGAGTGTAGTGGACAAAGATGGAGAGAAGTTTATGACCCCAGGAGACTTTGTCCAGAGGTATCTAGGACTACACACGCAGATCCACCACAACCCCAAAACTGTACAGCTCATTTCTGCTGTGGCTGACACCACAAAGGACGGGTACGTACTGATACACAAACGGTGTGCACAAACACACACACACACACACACACACACACACACACGTGCGCGCTTGCAAACAGCTTATCATTACTAATTGGCTGTTTATTGAGCCATGTCTGATCTGGTACTTGCCATTACAACCACTTACAGATAAGATAAAACTCTCAATGACTCCCATTTCCCAGACTGTTTGTGTGTGCAGTCATATGTGCACAAATTCCACATGCATTTCTGAACAATGACAAATGTTTTTTTTTTTGTTTTTTTTTTAACCCATAAAATACATGTATGTGTGCATTTTTGTGTGTGATTGTGGCGAACCGGTCCTTTTAATGAAGCATTACTGTATGATCTTCGTCTTTGACGTGTTTAACAATATATCTTTTTTTTCTCTTTCCCATAAACCAAATATACATCCACAACGGCAGGCTGATCTCGTTCCAGGAGTTTCTGGCATTTGAATCGGTGTTGTGTGCGCCTGACGCTCTCTTCATAGTAGCCTTCCAGCTGTTTGACAAGACTGGAACTGGAGCCATTTCCTTTGGTATGGACCAATGTGTTTGTTGTTGTTTTTTGCGTGAGCTTTGAGCTCAGTTCACACGATTTCAGTGAATCCAAAAATATATTGTGCATATATATTGTATTTTACACTGTACAAAATATTTGTGTATTGAATCCATCCCAAATGTGTTTGTGTGCTGCGTCATCAGACCAGTTTACAGGTTTTCCTGCGGTGCAATCTGGAGAAAAAATGTCCTAACGTGACATTGTTAACCAGATTAAACCTCGGTCTAAGTCATTGCACCTGAGTGGACTTACATAACCACTCTCATGCACAGTTCCTTCTTTTCCTTTCTTATGTCACACGCTCAAAGCTTAATGTTATGGCAATAGTCAGGAATATTGATTACTGATTCCTTTTTTTTTTTTTTTAAAGTGTTGTATGTGTATTTGTTGTTGCAGGAATGTGTGCTGGACATCTTCAGCAAGCCACAGTGCACCACATTCCCTTCAACTGGGACTGCGAGTTCATCCGTCTGCACTTTGGGCACGACAACAAGAAACACCTCAGCTACCTCGAGTTCACCCAGTTCCTGCAGGTCCGCTGATTAAACATACAGAGACTTATTGTTTTACCTCTTTTTCTCTTTGTCCTTTACTTGACTATATTTGCACTCAGCCTTGTGGTGTCCTTTTGTTTTTTCTTTTTAAGGAGCTGCAGCTGGAGCATGCACGCCAGGCATTTGCCCAAAAGGACAAAGGGAAGAATGGCGTCATCTCTGCAATGGACTTTAGTGACATTATGGCCACCATCAGACACCACATGCTCACACCTTTTGTGGAGGAAAACCTTGTCTCAGTGAGTGTTTGCTGACTGTAATTGGTTTACTTTGTCACTATGGCCACAGAGAATATTCAGTTCTGATTGACAGGAGGAAGAGTGTTATTTTCAGAAAACCACTGACTGTTCTAAATTAATTTTCATAGCTGGAAGCTCACTCATTTCAGTTTTTACTAGGCTGCGACTTCTCCCACTTTTTGGAGTAGTTATATTCCTAATGGGTCTAATGGGGACAAAAAGTTTTATTTTGCCCCAAAGTTTGAACAGTTTGAAACAGTGCTTGTGCTCTGATCACTGGCTAGTGGCGATATAATCTACTCTGACCTGTGGGGTTATGAAAATGTGCACACTCAGCAGAGGTAATTCCTTATCTGCTTCGCATCTGTGGTTATTGACCTTAAAGGACAATACCGGTCATTTTCAGCTTGGTGCATTTCTAATCCTTCGTCCTCCTGTGACAAACATGACAGGGCTGAATGTGGTGGTTAACACTGAGGTGTTACTCTGATTTACCTTCTTGTCACATAAAGTTAAATATGCTACTATTACGATTGGCTTTGTAGGAGTCTGTTTTGTATAAAGCTGAATTAAAAACATTGTTACTGTCAAAAGTTAAATGATTAAGGCACAAGCATAGGCTATAATAAAACAAATATGACCGTACAGTAAAACAATTGAAGTAAAGGAGTAAAGTTACACCTTTGCCCTTATAAAGAAAATAAATAAAATACGGGACAGTTTAAATGTACATAACCTCATTCATACAGTAGTAAAATTAGTACCTGACCTCCTCTGCCTTTCTTCTACCAGGCTGCAGGCGGCAGCACCTCTCACATGGTCAGCTTCTCATACTTCAATGCCTTCAACTCCCTCCTGAACAACATGGAGCTGATACGCAAGATCTACAGCACGCTGGCTGGCACGCGGAAGGACACACTCGTGACCAAAGGTCAGATTGTTACATTACTGTGATGATGTCTTTTAGCTTTTGCATGCGTGTCTCAGGGATGTCCATTTCATTATTAAACAACCTTTTCTTCTCTCTCTCTCTACAGAAGAGTTTGTTCATGCTGCCAACAAGTTTGGTCAGATCACTCCCATGGAAATTGACATCCTGTACCAGTTGTCAGGCCTGCACTCCCCCTCTGGGTAAACACTCACTCTGCTACTCAGTTTAAGTCTGTGATAGAGTCAGTCAGGTCAAACTTCACAGATATTTACTGAAAAATATAATGAATAATAAGGAAATAAACATCTGTGTATCAGGCGCCTGAATCTTACTGACATTGAGAGGATAGCTCCGTTAGAGGAAGGATGTCTGCCCCACCACCTGGCTGAAACCCAAAAACAGGTAGGAGGCTTGTGGCGGTCTGTGTGTGCAACTCTGAATATAATGTGTCTCATTCTATATTCACAACGTGAAAGCAGGATTTGGCTTACATGAGGAACAAGAACAATTTACACTGATGGCATCATAAACAAGTCCATAATATAAAGTTAACCTGGTCCCATATGCGACCTTCCAACAGGCCCATGGGGACACTTCCAGGCCCATTTGGCTCCAAGTTGCAGAGTCGGCCTACAGGTTCACCCTGGGCTCCATTGCTGGAGGTGAGTTATCCTGTGGCCAAAGACAGGTGGCTGTCTAACGGACACACGGCAGCCTCTGATCTATCTAATCTGATGGGTAGTATTTAGTCTGAACTTGTGTGTGTTTAGCTACGGGAGCGACGGCCGTGTACCCCATCGACTTGGTGAAGACTCGTATGCAGAACCAGAGGTCCACAGGATCCTTTGTTGGAGAGCTGATGTACAAGAACAGCTTTGACTGTGCTAAGAAGGTGCTTCGCTATGAGGGCTTCTTTGGCTTCTATAGAGGTAGGCCAGAAAGGCAGAGTACTGAAATGTCACCTGTATTATTCCGTCTGCAGTCACAACAACACTATTGGTGTTTAGTGTCCTTTCTTTTATTTTGTTCATTTATCTTAGCTCTGTGTTTCATCTTTCTCCACTTTAATGTTCTTTTTCCTCACCATGCCGTGAATTTCTAAAATACATATCTGCTGTCACAAACTTGCAGTTAACTTCAAACAAATGTGAAACATACATTTGCTCAGTTGAAACATTTTATTTTATCTGACTCGTTCTTTTTTCACCACTCATATAATTCACTTGAGCCAGATCAGAGATTCTCAGAGTATGAGTAAGAGAGTAAGTGAAGACCGTTTTGTTAAACCAGTTCAAATATTTTCTATTTTTTTCTTGTTGAAGTGATGCAGCATCATTCTTTCTAATAATCTAATAATAATCAACTATTAAGTGTGTACTTTCTTTCCTTTGTCAAGCATCCTCATCTTTTAGATCCTTAGTCAAAGCTCTGTCTAACTCTGTTGGTCTCCACCTTCATGTGTTTGACCTCACGTCTTATTTTTCATCTTATTTCCTTTTTATTTGTCCTCTCTTGCTCCTGTTTGCGCAGTAATACTAATGAAATGAGATTCTACTGTCACTCAATCCTCCATGATGCCCCACAGGTCTGGTTCCTCAGCTTATAGGTGTGGCACCTGAGAAGGCTATCAAACTCACAGTGAGTACCTTCTCTCTCACATACACAACACAAAACGGCCCTTCACTCCATTTTCGTTTAGCATCCACGTTTGTTATGTTACATTGGTAATAATGATGTTATAGGAGCTTCTTCACCAAAGTTTAATTCATGATGATGATAAAATCCAACAAATTAAAAGAAAATTAGATGAAAAATACAGTATGAAGAAGCTTAAAATCAACGTAAAAGTGAACATGTATAGGAAGACGTCACATTAATTTACAAAGGCGAGATGACAGACCTATTTTTAGCATTACTCTGGACTGTCTTTGGTCTCATGCTTGCTCGTGTTTGCGTCCCACAGGTGAATGACCTTGTAAGAGACAAGTTCACCGGAAAAGACGACACAATTCCTTTTTATGCTGAGATTTTGGCCGGCGGCTGTGTAAGTACCAAGTCCCCAAACACTTCTGTATCCTGCTCCATCTGTTTGTGTGTGCATAAATGAACACTAGATAAGAAAAAATGCTAATAGTCAGTCAGCCAAGAGTGCGTGTCTCCTCCGTTGTAAAGCTGGTGCATGCAGTCTGTTTTATTTGTTGTATTAACTTGCTTGCAGAGTTCCGAATGAGATTACTAACAGTGGACTGCAAGTTGCATCCAGAGTTAAGTTGTCATTGTCCAATGCAACATGTTTTTTTTTTCTGTTTTTGTTTTTGATAGCGTTGTTCATCCTTACAAACATTGGCCCAGCACACCTTACCATCCGAGGAAATGGCAAAGTAAATGATTGATCAGGATTTAATTTTTACTTTTAATACTTATCATGACTAAGACTTGGCTCGTATCCCTCAGCTGCGTACATGTGAGATGCAGGAGCACTAATGTCTTTTTTTTGGTGTATGTGTGAATAAGCTCTTCTTCTCCCCATGTATCCAGGCTGGAGGCTCTCAGGTGATCTTTACCAACCCTCTGGAGATAGTGAAGATTCGCCTGCAGGTGGCAGGCGAGATCACCACTGGACCTCGAGTCAGCGCTGTCAGTGTGGTCCGCGACCTGGGTTTCTTCGGCCTCTACAAGGTAATGTGTATTTCAGTATACCACAATCTGCTCTCAGGCTGTCCACTACTGCTTGCATGAGTAGGTTTCTTCTTACTCTTTCATTGTCTACTCCCAAGCACAGTCTCATACATCCGCCTGCTCTTTGTGTGTGTGTCTAGGGTGCTAAAGCATGTTTCCTGAGAGATATCCCTTTCTCGGCCATCTATTTCCCCGCGTATGCCCACCTCAAGACCCAGATGGCTGATGAACAAGGCAGGCTGGGAGCATTGCAGCTTCTCACTGCTGGAGCAATTGCAGGTAATATTGTGACGTAGAACGGCAGAAGCGGTCAGTCAGCGCTCATTCAGAACACGAACCACGACTTCCTGCACTGTATCCTATTAAATGCTGCATGAGAGAAATGTATTGTGTTCAGCTGACACCAACACTGCATCATCTGACTTCTTTGTAACTCCATTTCCCAGGTATCCCTGCAGCCTCCCTCGTGACGCCTGCTGATGTCATCAAGACGCGTCTGCAGGTTGCAGCAAGGGCGGGACAGACCACTTACACTGGGGTCATCGATTGCTTCAGGAAGATTATGAAAGAGGAGGGGTTCAGGGCTTTGTGGAAGGGAGCTGGAGGTGTGTGTTTGTGTACATCTGCATGCATAAACGCTGTGTCTCAGACTGTCTTTGTTTGTAAACCATGTTGAACTGTGAACTCTCTCTTCTCTCCAGCTCGTATGTGCCGGTCTTCTCCTCAGTTTGGTGTGACTCTGGTGACTTATGAGCTCTTGCAGCGGTGGTTCTACGTCGACTTCGGAGGACAGTAAGTTGTTCTTTTGTTAAAAGGAGAGTGAGAAGTTAAGTTGCTTTTAGTTTACCAAATTCGAGTCAAATTGCGAGACAGGATATGTAACTCTTACGGCTTCACACTGCCTAGCTGAGCGGCACGTGGCTGAACGTCTTGCTTGTTATTTTGGCGCCCATGTTAACAAATTAGAGCAGTCACACTGCCCACCCTGAGTTGCGGCTGCAGGGACACTTCAGTAGAGAGTCGAGGTCTTTTCTATTCTTTCCACAAGCGGTTCCCAACAAAAATAGTGTTCAGTCTGTTTCTGTGGACAGAATCTATTCATATGTTAATGGGGCTTTTATTGTACGGTATATCTTTCTATACTCAGTATAGAAAGATCAGCTGCAGTTATTATACCTGTCTCACTCTGCTGGACATATCAATTCACCAAACAGTATTTTGTTTGTATTTTGTATTGAGATTAATCACATTCCACTTACATGATTGGATGATGCCTGTTGCACTAAAGAGAGGCAACTATAACTGCACTACTTGGATTTAATAGACTAGAGTAACACACTGGCAGTGTGAAACTTCCTGGGTCGACATCAGGATACACTACTGTCCTAATTTCCATCATGACTCATCGTGACTTTATCACATTTAAAAAAAAAAAAAAGGATTGGATAAGAACATACATTTATATTTAACTACATTTATATATCACAAATGCCATTACTGTTGTGTAATGATTGCTTCTGTCCTCCTCTCTCTTTTCTGCAGTCGCCCGGCAGGGTCTGAGCCCACACCCAAGTCTCGCATCTCAGAGCTTCCTCCCATTAACGCGGACCACACCGGCGGCTACCGCCTGGCTGCGGCTACTTTTGCCGGGGTGGAGAACAAATTCGGCCTCCACCTTCCCAAATTCAAGTCCTCTGGTGTGGTTTCCATACATCACCCAGAGCCAATCACTGCCACGCCGGCTCAGGCCCCATAGAGGTCTGAATCACCTTGCCATCCTCCTCCTCCAAACTCCCAGGGACCCAAGACACTTAGATAACGATACACACAACAAAACCACACAGTTAAAACACACTCCACAAATTAGGGCGTTAACATATAAGAACGCAAACAACGGCCTGTCATACTCTCCTCTGAGTGAAGGTGTGCTCCCGCTGGTCCCCCAGCCAGTGGTGGGGGTGGGGGTGGGGTGGAGAGCTGGTTGCAGCTGTGGGTGTAATCAAGTAGACGGTGGCGGGACCAGAGCACTGACTGTGTGGTATCTTCAGTGGCTGCACGCTCCTGGCATCTCCATCTTTTGTGTTCTTCTCTCCAGAATTTGTATAAAACTGAGCTTCCGGCAGTCCTCTCTCTCTCTCATGAGTAGCTGATATGATTTTTATTCTGTTTTCTGTCTGATACTCTGTGTCAGTAGGATTTCTCTTATTGGACAGCGGGCATAGAAAATACTAGATTGGCCAGCATGGTGCGTGGGGCTTCCCTTTCAATTGGTCCTCACACGGGGGGCTAAATACTGTACATATTGTATAACTGTACTGAGACAGCACATGGACAGGAAGAAAATGTTACAAGACAAAGCTCCGTAACCATCACTATCATTATACAGTAAGTGTAATGTTATGGCAACGTGGGGCCTTTGGTCCTGGTCTCTGAGAATCAACCTTACTGATGTACAGAACTTTTCAATTAAGTGTTTTCTTGATAAAACAAGAATCATGAGCAGAGAATTAGGTATTAATAAATTAAATGTATCAGAATTCAGTCATTGTATTTTATTGAAATAAATCATCCATATGGTTTTAATTTTAACAATATGTCTCGACTTTTATTCCAATGAAAAAGTGCAACCATTAACTGTATCAGGAACGGTAACGGGAGAATACAGTACAACTAGACTATGCAGAATACTGATGTTGTTCATGTTATATCAAATATGGTTGCTACAGTGCATTTTTAGCTCACTCTAAACATTTAAATAGAAAGCGTTTGAGGCTGAAAGTTTTACCAGCCTGCCGAGGTTGGACTGCTGCATCCTGGATGGAATGAAGAATAGGATGGAAAAGAAAACTAATGAAAATTAATTTATGTTCTGTGTTAAAAAATAGTTTCCAACCCCAACTTTACATCTCCATTTAAAACTTTATGTAGTGTATTTAGATCCTCTTAAAGAGGACAAGTCGGGAAACCGTTTACTACTACTCATTACACAGAGTATAAAACAATAGCCTTTGGTACAGAAAAATGTCACTTTAACTGTACTAGTGTCAATAAATCCAAGGCAGGTATAGTAACAGATTTTGCCTGGTAAAAAGTTTTGTAGTGCTAATTTTAGGAATGTACTACTCAAGCTCTTAGTACAAAGCAGCATTTTTTTTAAACAATACACAGAATATTTAAATAAGTGCAACCACCAGAATAAATATTAAATATTGTAGTGGTCAAAATGTAAGAATGCCACACTTCTGCACAGGCCAGTGTGTGCATGTGTCAGCACAAAAGCTGTTTTAGTCATCAAATTCAAGTGCTTCTGAGGGTAAAGGATCTGATAGTGATATGTCAGCGTTTCCTTTTTTCCCTGTTCACACACACTTCGCCAGCCATGTGCAAAAGTGTGTCTGTAAAATATTAAAACATGTAAAAACACTCAAATGGTAAGAAAAAGGTGCAAGTACAAAGGTTTGCATATTTAAAAAAGAACTGAGTTGGTTGAGGCCTCAGGAGAAGAGCAGTTTCTTGGAGCCCTGAGGATGTTATCAAAGCTAGAGGTTTAGAGTGTACAGCCACATCTATGCTGAAAATCACATCCCTGTATTCTTTCAACCACTTCACCGTGGCTTCTGTACTACTACTGCTACACCTGACATTCATTGTTCCTACAAATGTACTCTAAAACTCTTCAAGACACTTTGAAAAACACATCTAAAACTTGTCTAAAACTGTCTTTTCTATCCCTTCTAGCTCTGCACATCTCCTCAGGCCAATTCATGTTGTAGTAGGTGGAAAAGCTGGAAGCCAGTGTTGTGTAGTGTGCTATAGGTGTTGAGTGTACAGGAGAGAAATTTATGAGCAGTTGTCAGCGTGGGGTTTGTAACATCAGACGTTGGCCAGTTCATCGGCTTCATCTCGGTTCTCGTTGATCTCAGCCAGCGTCCTGACGAAGCGCGTCCACTCATCAGCCTTTGGCACGCAGATTTGCTGCAGAAAGACAAAGGACAACAAATCCGACAATGTCAGACAGCACCTTAATATCTGAACCAATATCGTTTGTTTTCAGTAGTATAACTGAAGGGCGGTCAATTAAAATATACCCAAAAGCATAACATAGGATGACATCTTACCTCCCCTACATCGTAGACCTGCACCTGTCCTTCCGAGTCCCCAGTGGCGATCTCTTTGCCAGAGTGAGCCCATCTCACACGGTTCAGTGCTGGAGCCCCCTCCACATACACACTGGCTGTGGGAACCTGAAAAACAAACACCAGCTTACAAAGAAGCAGATTCATGGATGTCCATCAGTCTAATCAATCTAAGACAATCACATATCATTTATCTGTACTTGAGGGATATTTTGTGCAAAGTGGCTTTTTGCTTCCTTGCCAACATTGATACCACTCTCATTTGGTTCCATTAAATATGTATTTTACACTGTACAGATATGAGAGTGGTATCGATCAACTTATCTAGCTCTGAGCAAGAAAGGGAATAAGTACATTCCTTTAAAGGGTGAAATTAAGGTCTCAGGTTTCAGAGCATTGTTTGTTTGCATACTTCTGTATCATTGTTGAGGTTCCACAGGTCCAGGCGTCCAGCGAGGTCCACACAGGCAAACAGAGCGGGGTGTGTTGGGGACCACATGGCATCATAGACATAGTCACAACTGTCCTCGAACGAGTACAACGGACGGGTGCTCTGAGCAGAAGAACAGAGGGAGAAAATGATTAACGTCAAGAAACACGACTAATAGTGCATCTAATAGAGTAACTGCGACTGTAAATGTCTCACCTTAGTGCTCCAGAGTTTGACGGTCCAGTCAAAAGAGGAGGAGATGAAGAGATGAGAGAAGTCAACAGGTCCTCCGGCACTGTGACAGCTCAGTCCGGTCACCGGACCATGATGGCCCTCGAACACCTCAGTGATACCCGCCTTACTGTAACGCACACATAAAAATAACTTCTACTAATTACCTTCTTTTCCTCAAGTCTTTTAACAGCATTTGTTGGAAGTCACAGTGCTAGTGGGGACGGAGGTCACTCACCTCCCATGGCGACAGGCTGTGTAGACAGAGCCGTCCTCACTCCCCACCACAAAGTTGTTCACGTCGCCCAGAGGAAAGGCCATGGAGGTGACGGCCACCGCTTTGCTCTGTTTGAATACCAGCTCCAGACTGTCCTGCAGGGAAAACACGCGCAACCTCAGACTCTCTGGCAAACCAGCTGATATTTACCACAGCATATCTGTACATCGTGTTCAATGTACCTGTGGCTGGGAGAGCATGTCGAGGCTCCAGGAGCACATTTTGCCATCAGTGGAAATGCTGATCAGGTTGTTAGCGTTTTGGGTTCCTACCACGTTGACACAGTAGACAGGGTGCTGGACACAGAGTTAAGACAACACACAGTTACCGAGGAAACCATGGAAAGATGTGAAGAAAAAAGTGACACTGTGTGTAGACGTTGGTGTGTGAGCTCCAGTGCATTACTGTGTGTGCAGCTGCAGACAGGGGAGTTCTCTGAACAGGAGTGCGCTTGTTGCTCCTGTTGTCCCACAAGACTATCTGTCCGGAGTACGTCCCACCCACCACCAGGTTGGGGTGAAACTTTGCAAACCCGGCTGACATCACCTCTGACTGGAGGAAGAAAATAACACAATTTAAAGATGTCTGCATAAATATTTGGTTGTATTAAGCTTAGAACAATTTATTTTGCAATGTAAACTTAAGGAGAATGTCCTTTATGCCAGTGGACTGTAAGGCAATTGCATGTGAATTCTTTCCTAACCTGGCAGTGGAAGATGTACTCGGGTGTGTCCTTCTTGTACTTCATGTTCCAGACCAGTGCCACTCCATCAGGCTCATGGGGAGCATCCTCATTGTTGTTATAAGAGGCCACCAGCAGCTCTGGATACTGAGAGGAACATGGCAGCCGTATTTAGATGCAGAGAAGAAGCAGTGAGGCAAGGTAAGAATGAGTCAACATATTATTTACAGTTGATTTGAACTGTGCGCACACATGCTCTCTCTGTCACTTAAAGTCAACATACTGGGAACAATAGGGTCTCAAGGTTAGATAGGAGAGGGTTAAAGCTGTGTGAGTGTTCGGACCCACCTGAGGAGACCAGTCGAGACAGGTGACCACTCTGTTTTTAGTCCAACGCTCATCTGCAAACTGTCTGTTCAGAACCAGCTTTGCACCTGCCTGCAAGTCACTGCGAGAAAAAAACAAAAACATAATCAACCCTGCCTATCCGTCTGTTTATCATTTAATACATTTTTTTTTCATGTGCCTCACCCCTCCTTATCCTCTAGATCTCTCCCGCTGTAGTCGAAGCAGACGTCCACCTGCTCGGCCAGAGCTCTCTCCACAATTCTGCTGCCTCGCTCGAAAAATGACAAGAACTCTCCAGAGTGCAGGACCTGCAGCTTCTCTTCTTCTGTCAGCTCTTTGGGAGTGTCTATACACACAGATAATTCAATAGCAGATAAGGAAAAATACTAGAAAAGACCCTGCTTTCTAGTAACATATTGACAGAAAGATAGAAATGAGCCCAAAATCATTACTTAAAAGCACAAATCTGGTATGGTAGGAGGAAACTATTTGCTCCCATTAATCAGCATTACTAAAGCACAGCTGATTACCTGGCACAGTTATTGGTATTAACAACTAGGTCATTAATTAGGTCATTAAGAGCCAACTCACACAATGACAGTTTACAACTTTTCTCCTTACCCTCATCCTGCTGTTCGCCCTGCTCATCTTTCTCCTCCTGGGAGTCC